AGATAATGAGCTATTATCTGAACTTCTCAGATTCTTTAGAGGACTGTTTTTTCTGTGTGTGGGAGAGTATAATTTGAGGCAAGAAGCTATTAGATCAGCAGTGTGTGTGTGTGTGGTCTATATTGCTTTTTTTTCAAATATTGTACTACAATCAGAGATTTTTCTGAGGCATTTGACTGATTCTATCAGTTCGTGTAGTTATGGTATAAATGCCAAAAGCCAGAGAAATATTGGGAAGCTAAAAAAATTGGTATTAAAACAAGTTAACTGCAGGTGTTTTTGTTTTTTTTACACATTCATCATAAACATGTGTCTCATTCTGAGCTGCAATGGACAAATTAAGAAAAAAAATGCAGCTATCTTATTTTTTATAACAGTTTCTTTAGTTCCTATGTGTGTGTGTGTGTCATTTAGTCAGTTCCTTTCTTCTTGTTGGTTTGGCAGATATTCATCCAGGAATTTGACTCAACAATCTTCCAGCTGTGAGAATTTGTGTTTAAACTCCATTCCTTCACTATAGCTGCATACTTGTGGCTTCTCAAGTCATAGGTTTGATAGAGGGAAAATTGCAAAACAGTGGATAAAAATTGTAACTAATCCTTGAAGATTTTTTCTTTGTCTGGTTGGGAGATTCTTCCACCTCTTACTTTCAGTTTTCTTGTTTTTTCTTCTGTATTTTATCTTTCTCTTCTCAAAGAGAAGGTTCATTCACTTCTTCTCAGTGGTGCCAAAAGTTAAAGTTATGGCTCGAGATGCAGAATTATTCCCAGTTTTTATTACTTATTTCAAAATATATTTGGGATTGGTGTCTGGTTTTGGATCTGCCCTAGTTATATGTGATTTTAACTCTTTCTTTCGACTTTGAGGAAGGATTGGTGGATGTCCAGGGTCAATGTAGTTAACACTTATTTTCATGTTTCAAAACATCTTTAGTTTCATCAATTCCTTTTTTTTCGTTCAGGGCTAAATGCTTCAGTTTCTGACCTTTATTTTGGTCCTTTTTTTCTGTTAATATGGGTGATGATAGCCATGGCATCATTCCTTCATCATTAGGGTATTAATTTTAATCACTATATGGATGAATGGTTGTTTCTTTTTTTCCACCCAATCACAAACCAAGAGGGATACAAAGTTCTCCCTCAAGTTTTTTGCCAATCAGGATTGGACAATAAACCTGTCCAAATAGCACTGACATCATCCTCAATGTTGGAAATATCTGTGGTTCTTGTATCATATTTTTTTTCTGTAAGAGATATTTACAGCTTATGTCTTTGAGGATATTTATTTGGTATATCAAGTTTGACAGGTTTTACTTCTCCACATTGTTTCTGCTGAACAGGTCTTTTCTAACTAAAGCTCTGATATGAATATACCACATGTCACTTTCCTGTGATATTTCCTTCACACTTGCAAAGTTTTCATAATCCGGTTTGTAGCAGAATTTATCAAGAGAGCTATCTGCTGACTCATGGAATATTATATTGTTACGCCTCCAGTCATTAGTTAATTTTCCGCAAATTCTTTCCGACTAAACTTTAGCAACACAAGTCCTTTCTTAAATAAAACTGGTTTATTCTTTCCAAATACAACTTTACGATACACTTAATTCCAACAGTCGCTCTATAACAAACGCTATAACTCACGTCTCATGTGGCCAACAATATTCTCCACATACATTCAATTACTCATTACCTCGTTGTCCCGTCACGTTGTGAACGTCTTATATATACCAGACTACCCCCAATCTAGTAGTCTCCCGATAATTCATGAAGGTTCGAGAAGGACGTGGCGTGATACTAGTCACGTGACCTCGCTGACACAACAATATCCTACTTTATGACAATCACACGGAGCAGAAAGAAAGTGGATTGTAAGATTAGTTTTTGCATTTTGAGGCTGATTTATTTCTGTCAAAGAAGAACCCAAAATACGAAGTTTGTCCCCATCTTTGTTGTCACCCTTCACATCATTTAGAGTGCTGATCTTGTGTGTTGATTGTTTTAGCATTATCATTATCAACAATTTTCAGTCCCTTCCACCTGAAAAGGCCTCAGTACAGAAGACAAAACGTTGTTCCACTCTAGAAACAAGCAGGATGAGTCCATTAGAGCTAAAACTCTATGATCCACATTATTTAATGCAGATGAGTTTGTATGTAAACAGATGTGGAGGGGATCAAGAGGCAGAAGAGAATGCATAATAACATGGTTGAAGAAGGTTAGCCTGAGTAAGGAGACTAGGTTTGTCTCTGGTGTATATTGGCATTGTGTAAATCCCTCAGACCTGGTTTCAATGGAACTTTTCTTCTATTTAAATGGTTCAATCCATCTAGAAGGTTTAATGATCATGTGTAACCATAAAATGCAAAGTCTTCTTTGATAAACTGACATTGTTTATAACTGAAGAGTCTCTGAAACTGTCTTAACAAGTAAATGGAGAGTGAAGGAGTTGAAGCTACAAATGATGATGTAATGGCATTGTAAAATACTATTATGATATGGCAGAGGAAGAAGAAAAGAAAGATGCTGAACCTTCCCTGGCTGTTTACAAATAGTAAAAGAAAAGGAGTCACTGAGTGACTGGCAACATCAGACACTCAACCAGAGGGGCGACAGCTCCCTGCAAGTCACTACTGCTGAGAGTGAGAGACAAGTTACAGCAGTTAAGATAACTTTCTGACCTGTAGCATGTGTGTGAATGAGATCAACAGCAGAAATGGAATTGTGGTTCTTTATAATTTCAAGTATGAGACTCACACAATTCCTAGAGTGGTGAGTGATGATACTAGTGAGTGTAGAACATAAGCAGCTAAGAACTGCTAACAATAGCGAGGATTCATGGAACATCAATGATGCTGATGATAGTGAGGATTCATGGGAATTATTCCTGTGTTTATGGTCCACTGATGAGAAAGAGAGATGTTCAGGTACTTGCATAGGTGTATCATGGAGAACTTGATTTTACCTGATAGTTGCCAATAAATTTATCCTGAAGCAGATGGAAGAATAAGCCTGCATATGGAAACTCATTATACATAGACTTTTTTATCTCACTTTCAACTTTTGTTTGATTTATATTTCAACTGTGAAATCTGAGGTTAATGTTACCACTTCGGGTATCCTACCTTCTACTAGCACTATTTCACAGGCTGCAGGTGGAGAGATCCGTCATTCAACTTATCTGTGATTATCTGCCAAGAAGTTGATAGTTATATGGGGCAGTCTTCTTCTTTTGAACACGCTGAACCTGTTCAGGTCAACGAGGATTTTGATAGCCATTTTCCACCATCGGATTTTGCCGTGTCTTTTTATGTCCCACCTGCAGAATCAGCTAGGCCTAATATGGTGTTTTTAGACGTAATTTCTAAGATATGTGATGTTTTTGTCCATTTCCCAGATTTCTTATGTTCCCATCCTTCTTTATTGCATGATATCTCTTCATCTCAATATTTAATTCTACCACCCTTCCCAGATATTTGGGTTCATGCTGAGCAACTTGCTTCACAATTGGTTGAGGGTGCCAACATGCCTCACTCTCTACAGGCTACGGATCAGTTTGCTTTAGTTTACCATTAGACTGACTGTCCGTTTCTTGTCTCTCAGCAGTTGGGATCAATTTTACCCATGTGGTGGGTGGTACCTGATAAACCTGTGCATTTATCCAATGCTCAGTTTTCCCACCTTCTTTTACCCTTACTCTCCTTCTACAGTATTTGTCTACTATCCATCTCCTTTCCAAGGCAATCCAAAAGAGGTCCTGAGGGTTTTTCAAGGGACAGCCTCTCCCTAATTACCTCCATGTTGACTCATTTGCCATCTTTGGCTCTCGCATTGCATATGTGGTTTCTCTGTTGTTGGAATTTCTTTGGTCTAGATGACCTTGTCCTAGGTTCATTTACTGCCTCCTTATCTTAGGGATTTACAAATGGCCCTCTTTCTTTGGTGGTCTGTTTTTGGTGATGTACCTAAGAATTTGGAATCATGTGTGGAGTCTGTATATGACACCTTACTTTATCCTTGGCATTTCATCTTCATCATCCTTTGGACCAAACATGCTCGCCCTTTCAGCCGTGGGGCTTTATTATGTGCTGGTCAATCCACTATTCGTTGGTAAAAGAGTAGCCCAAGCATTGGCGGTGGGTAGTGATGACTAGCTGCCTTCCCTCTAGTCTTACACTGCTAAATTAGGGATGGCTAGCACAGATAGCCCTCATGTAGCTTTGCGTGAAATTCAAAACAAAAAAACAAATCTTCCACACTGAAAACCGGTGCTTCCATTTTCTGCTAACACTCAAAGTGATAGTTCAGTAGAATTGAATCGAAAGAGTGACATGCATCAAGAGAGTGTCTCTCTCTTATTGGTGAATAGTTGTTGCATTATAATTTGCATGAGATACGCATTTGAATTAGTCAATTCCAAATGGGTGAGTGTTTTTATATTTTTTGCATATAGAGGGCAGCATTGAACAAGAATAGCTATTTATGTGAGAGGAGGTAAGTATCTATCGGAAATACATTTTCAGTATAGGAAAATTATAACATCAGGTAAACAAACATCAAGCTCTGGTCACTGTTATGTTGTCAGGGGTCACGAGAGGAGATGACAACTTGTGAGGTTATTTACAACCATATTTACTGACTGGCATGGATGATACTTTATTCTATGTGCAATTAATAATTTAAGGTTTCTGTTGTAGTGATTGAATGGTAAAGTTTTATCTACAGAAGTTGCTTATGCCTCTTGGTTAGAACAGCATCAAAACCACTATATACTGACAAACATGGAAGTAGCAACAGTGTGTTTTATTTTAGTGCTAAGGAAACCCATTTGAAATGCTGCAGCAAAAATCATTTATATTTTGTATGAAGCTTACCATAGAGAAAATATTTAATTATAAAATGTCATTATTGTAATTTTCATTCATAAAGCAATTTTTTTGTTCATAAAAATCAAAACATTTTCCGTATAGTTAACTTCCCTGAAACATTAATTCTCTCTAGCAATGCCAGAAAGTGGTAGTCCTGGACCTTCTTGTCTCTGTGGAGGCCAAGCGAATATACAAGCTGTTCTAAGGCCTAGTGTGTGGCTTCCAGGAGTGCGGTTCCCTCATCAGTACCAAGAGACTTGGCGTCTAGCTGCTAACCCAACTGTGTGTTCCCAAGCAGTGGTGGAGGCAGTGTCCAACATAAACCAACAAGATAATAAAGGGAAGTACTACCAAATCAACAGAGTGAAAGTTGATGACACCTCTGCATTTGTAAGGATTCTGTGCTTTACCCGAATGCGATGGGTGGATGTGGTAGAAATGAAAATAACATGTGAATTAGATAAAGGTAGTAACATTGTGGTCAGAAGCTTTTCCAGTGGGATCCTTCCTGTTTGGATTCCTGCTTCTTTCATCTTCAGTTGTTTCCTGTTTATTGTGCCTTTTTATGACAAAGGAAGGAATGCTCTGTGGTTAAAAACAATCCGAGATGCACTGAGCATAGAAGTAAGTGTTTGTAGTGGAGGGAGAAAGTGCTGAACATGGAAGCATTTGTAGTGGATGATGAAAGTGTTGATTTTCTGCAATACAACTTACCATAAATGAATTACTCTTGACTCATTAATTTATCCAGTTTACAGTGTATATCTTATATGATGTATGTGTTTTTGTTATGATTCTTCATTGTATAACAAGGGAAAATAAATGTTGTATAATTGAATAAAATGAAAAAGTCATGCATACAAAACAGTGTCAAAGTTAATGACAAAGATTAGAGAAAAAGAAATTTTCTACAGAAATGAATGTTTTGGTGTGTTGTTTGTTTGAAGCACATTAATTTTGGTTTATAATTGTGACATTTTATTAAAACTTACAATGACTTGTATAACTAGAGAGCTTACATATTTTTTTATAGTTGATGAACATTGGAATTAACTTTTGGCCTGTACAGGTTATATTATATTCTTTACAAATATGTGATGATATTTCAGTAGTCTGTGGTATTTATAAGTTTGTTTTGAACTGTTAATGTGTGGTAGCATTACATGGAAATGTGATTATTTATATTGATGATATCACAGAAGTCTGTTTTTTATAGTTTTCTGTTATATGGTAGCATTGCTTGAAAGTGTGGTTATTAATGTTGACGGTAATATTCCATAAGAGTGTTGTATTTACAAATTTGTATTATAATGGTAGCATTACTTGGAAGTGTGGTTATTTATGTTGATGGTGATATTCCATAAGTCTGTGGTATTTATAAGTTTGTATTATAATGATAGCTTTACTTGAAAGTGTGTTATTCATGTTGATGGTAATATTATGGAAGTCTGGTACTTATAAGTTTGTATTATAATAACAGCATTACTTGGAAGTGTGGTTATTTATGTTGATGGTAATATTACACTTTCAAGTAATGCTACCATTATAATAAAAACTTATAAATACCACAAACTTATGGCATATTACCATCAACATGAATAATCACACTTTCAAGTAATGCTACCAGTATAATATAAACTTATAAATACCAGACTTCTGTAATATTACCATCAACATGAATAACCATACTTTCAAGTAATGCTACCATTATAATACAAACATATAAATACCAGACTTCTGTGGTTATTCATGTTGATGGTCATATTCCATAAGTCTATGGTATTTATAAGTTTGTATTATAATGGTAGCATTACTTGAAAGTGTGGTTATTCATGTTGATGGTAATAATACAGAAGTCTGGTACTTATAAATTTGTATTATAATGATAGCATTACTGGGAAGTGTGGTTATTCATGTTGATGGTCCACCATTATAATACAAACTTATAAATACCATAGACTTATGGAATATTACCATCAACATGAATAACCACACTTTCAAGTAATGCTATCATTATAATACAAACTTATAAATACCACAGACTTATGGCATATTACCATAAACATGAATAACCACACTTTGAAGTAATGCTAACATTATAATACAAACTTATACATACCACAGACTTATGAAATATTACCATCAACATGAATAACCACACTTCCAAGTAATGCTATCATTATAATACAAACTTATAAATAAAACAGACTTATGGCATATTACCATAAACATGAATAACCACACTTCAAAGTAATGCTACCATTATAATACAAACTTATACATACCACAGACTTATGAAATATTCATTACTTGAAAGTGTGGTTATTCATGTTGATGGTAATATTACAGAAGTCTGGTATTTATAAGTTTGTATTATACTGGTAGCATTACTTGAAAGTGTGATTATTCATGTTGATGGTAATATGCCATAAGTTTGTGGTATTTATAAGTTTGTATTATAGTGGTAGCATTACATGACAGTGTGGTTATTCATGTTGATGGTCATATTCCATAAGTCTATGGTATTTATAAGTTTGTATTATAATGGTAGCATTACTTGAAAGTGTGGTTATTCATGTTGATGGTAATAATACAGAAGTCTGTGGTATGTATAAGTTTGTATTATAATGATAGCATTACTGGGAAGTGTGGTTATTCATGTTGATGGTAATATTTCATAAGTCTGTGGTATGTATAAGTTTGTATTATAATGGTAGCGTTACTTCGAAGTGTGGTTATTCATGTTTATGGTAATATGCCATAAGTCTGTGGAATTTATAAATTTGTATTATAATTATAGCATTACTGGGAAGTGTGGTTATTCATGTTGAGGGTAATATTACAGAAGTCTGGTACTTATAAGTTTGTATTATTGTAACATTCATACACGTGTCTGGAAGCACATGTACATATATATTTATTTATGTACATAGATTCTCACATGCATGTATCTTTATTATACGTTATAACATAAAATAATAACATGAATTGGAATACCTCTGGCTCCAACAAAAATTACATTTTTAATCTTCTGGAGTTGCACCACGCAGGCAATGTTTTGATTCGTGGTACTGTAATGTATTGCCATGTCAGAGTTATCAAGTTCAACACATTTTTATTTTCAGGCATCATAAAATGAACAATTACCAATAGCATTCAGCTAAACTAGGACTTTTCAGTTAAACTTATCATAAGTTAGAGTTAATATTTGTGATGCTACTACATTATGTATCAATGAACACTCGAATGAAAAACAACTCCCCTGCTGCCATGAAAGAGGCATGCACTTTTCAGGTGTAACAGGAAAGATCCAGCAAGGATCATGCAGTATTCTCTGCAGACTACTTGGAACTTAGCTAGGTCAATTGAGTGATCTTCGTGAAACATCTCTTATTTTTCATCTTAGAAAAATGATTTAGTATTTCAGAAAGCAAGGATTGTAAAAGTCATTCAACCGAGTTTTTGTGCGTCTAGCCACCATTCATTCGGGCAAACTCTTAATGGTTTAGGTATATCTACAGACACCTGCTATACTAACTGTGTTAATCGAGTAACATCTGAAGAACATCTCTTACAGTAAATTCTGTGAAATATTCCAGAAAGTAAGAGTTGTAAAGTCCTTTTAATGCAGTTAACAAACCATCATATTTTGATGATTTAGTGTAATAACAATTCCTGGCAGGTATTAAGGAAGTTAGCTAATTAATTAATTAGTTACATGGGGTGTTCGAGAATTGCTATTCCTCCTTCGCCTCACTCACGATTTGAGTTTTCTAACTAATAGCTATCGCTTCCGTTTGTATAACTGGTGATGCACTGGACATTACACCTACTGGTTTGTGGTAGTCAAGTTAAATCATACAATGTTATGCATATATTACATGGTGAACACCACTTGATTGCTTCGAAAGCAAGTAGCGACACTTCCTTTCGGTCAATGATCCTACAATCAATACTAGATGTAATCTGTTACGTCTCTGGTCGTTTGTTAATTTCCTGTATAATTTCTTTCGGATGAAACTTTAGCGATACAAGTCCTTTCTTAAATAAAACTAGTATATTATTTCTCAGCACAACTTTGCAATACACTTAATTTCCACAGTCACTTTAACTTCAACACACGCTATAATTCACAACGATTCACGCACTTTACTTACAGTCACTACCGCACTTGACTCAATTGTCTGTCTGCAATTATCTATATCGTCACTTAATTTGCCGGATTATATGTACAAAAATAGAGGGCACGTAGAGAAAACTAGAGTGCCAAGAACAGACATGATCTTTCCAGAATCTCATGACAAGAATACCGCATATGTAGTAACCTCCGAGACTTCAGGAAGGGACGTGAACGTTCGAGAATATGACGTGTTACTAGAGTCACGTGACCGCCGCTGTCGTAACACTACCCCTTCCTTAGTATTGTTCGTCCCGAACAATAGCCACTTAC